CAATAATGCTTTATCAACATCTACTTGATCTCATAGCAAAGCTGGATCCTATTATATGTCTTCGAAAAACTCTCATTGTACAGGAGAATCACACTGGCAAGTTATGCTTTCAGAATATGATATCATTTATGTGACTCATAAAGGCTATAAAAAAAGAGTGCAATAACTGAATTCTTGCTGATCGTGCACGTCGAAGATTATGAGTCAATGAAATTAGATTTTCCTGGATGGATGTGATGGCCATTGAAGAAAATGAACGCTGTTGAAAATCATGGAAGATGTTTTTGATAGGAGCTGCTAATGTTTGGGTCATGGTATTGGGTAATTTTGATATCTCCTGATGGACATATTAACCATCACAGCCAGATTAAATTTAATTGCACAAACAATGTGGCTGAATATGAAGGCCTGTGTTATGGGTCTACAAGCAGCAATTGAAAAGAAGATCAAAGTGTTAGATGTGTTTGGAGATTCAGCTTTAGTCATCTATCAGTTACGAGGTGAATGGGAAACAAGAGACTCTAAGTTGATTCGTACCATAAATACATCTCTGAGTTGGTTAAGCAATTTAAAGAAGTTCAGTTTGAGCATCTACCTAGAGAGGAAAACCAAATTGCTGATGCACTGGCTACTCTAGCTGCAATGATCAAAATAGATGCAAATACTGAAATCCAACCCATCAAGCTGGATGTGAAAGATGTACCAGCACATTGCTCAGGTGTTGAAAAAGAAATTGATGGAAGGCCATGGTATCATGATATCATGCAATACATTAAAAGCCAGCAATACCCAGAACATGCAATAAAAAATGATAAGAGGACTATCAGAAGATTGGCTATGAGTTTCTTCATTGATGGAGATATCCTTTACAAAAGAGGTCGAGATCAAGTGCTCTTAAGATGTGTAAATGCAGCTGAAGCAAAGAAGATTATTGAAGAAGTGCATGAAGTTTGTGGGGCACATGCAAATGGTCATATGATGGCTAGACAAATTATGAGGGCTGGCTATTATTGGTTGACAATAGAGGACTGTATTGATTATGCTAGGAGATGTCATAAATGTCAGATTTATGCTGACAAGATTCATGCTCCATCAACATTACACGTTCTAGCTCCTCCTGGCCATTCTCTATGTGGGGCATGGATGTCATTGGTCCCATCACTCCAAAAGCTTCGAATGGGCATAGATTCATTTTTGTGATGATTGATTACTTCACCAAATGGGTAGAAGCTGCATCATATGCTAGCGTGACCCGATCTGTGGTATGTAAGTTCATAAAAAGAGAGATAATATGCAGATATGGGCTTCCAGAGATAATTATTTCTGATAATGCCAAAAACTTGAACAACAAAATGATGAATGAAGTATGCACTCAGTTCAAGATCCGTCATCGTAATTCGCACCATATCGTCCGAAAATGAATGGGGCAGTGGAGGCTGCGAATAAGAATATCAAAAGAATCCTGGAGAAAATGACTGAAACTTACAAAGATTGGCATGAGAAGTTGCCTTTTGCCTTGCATGCTTATAGAACATCAGTCGAACATCTACTGGGGCCACACCGTTCTCTTTGGTATATGGAATGGAAGCTGTGCTACCGTCGAAGTGAAAATTCCCTCACTGAGAGTCCTGATGGAGGTAGAGTTAGAGGAAGCAGAATGGGTTCGAAATCGCTACGAGCAGTTAAACCTCATCGAAGAGAAAAGATTGTCAGCACTTTGTCATGGTCAATTATATCAAAAGAGGATGATGAGAGCACATGACAAGAAAACTCATCCCCGTTGCTTTGGAAGGAAGACTTAGTGCTAAAAAGAATCCTTCCAAATCAACATGATAATCGAGGGAAATGGACACCAAATTGGGAAGGCCCGTATGTGGTGAAAAAGGCCTTTTCTGGTGGGGCATTGATTTTGGCAGAAATGGACGGAGGTGATTTGCCTACCCCAATAAATTCAGATGTTGTGAAGAAATATTTTGCTTAAAAAAAAAAGAAAAAAAAATGATGACTTATCTAAGCTGAAAACCTGAAAAGGGGCTTGGATGTGAAGCAGAAGCATCATCAAGAAAAGATCCCACAATGCAGGGGCAAGTGTAGTTTGACGAACTCTGAATGATCAAAAAGTCATCTGATTTAGTTTTAGAGAAAGAATCTGAGAATATTTTGTTCATGATTATCTTGTGATCATTCTTTTGACACTTTTGTTTCAACTCAAACACTTTGACATGCACTTGTTATCAGCCATATGAAATACATTATCTTTCCTTTGAAAATAATGCCTATCCTTTCTTTATCCTTATCTGATTTTTTGTCATCGTCAAGTGAATAAGAGAAATGTGTGATTGCATTTTATTTGTCTTGAACTTAAAATGATGAAAAGAAAAACAAACATGAAAGATCTCAGCATTACTTTTAAAGTTGACAAAGGCAAATGAAAAAGGATGAGAAAAGCATGACAAGACATTGATGTTGCAGACTTTTGAAAAAAAAATATTATGGTCAGATGTTGAGAACAGATTGGTCATATAAGAATTTTGATAAAAGAAGCCAAAAGTGAGAGATTTCGAGAACCTTTTTACTACAATGAATGATTTTGATTGCATTACATGCATTGCATTATGAGCACTCAGTACATGCATCCATGAGAAGTTGTAACAAAGATAGAAATTTTCCATTTCTTAATGAAAAACAAGATTTTGGTAAAGACAATGATCAAACAAAAGAATTCAAAAGAGAAATTTACTTGTTCAAAGATGAGAACTCAAATTTGAAAACAAGATGAAATTTTAAAGTTGTTGAGCCTCTGCTGAGAGGAGCTTTTTCAAGAGAATTTTAAAGTTGTTGAGCCTCTGCTGAGAGGAGCTTTTCAAGAGAATTTTAAAGTTGTTGAGCCTCTGCTGAGAGGAGCTTTTTAAGAGAATTTTAAAGTTGTTGAGCCTCTGCTGAGAGGAGCTTTTCAAGAGAATTTTAAAGTTGTTGAGCCTCTGCTGAGAGGAGCTTTTCAAGATGAATTTTAAAGTTGTTGAGCCTCTGCTGAGAGGAGCTTTTCAAGATGAGATTTTAAAGTTGTTGAGCCTCTGCTGAGAGGAGCTTTTTCAAGAAATTTTAAAGTTGTTGAGCCTCTGCTGAGAGGAGCTTTTCATGAGATTTTAAAGTTGTTGAGCCTCTGCTGAGAGGAGCCTTTTTTTAAACTTTCAAAATATTAATTGAACCTCTGTTGAAAGAAGCCTTTTCTGTCGAACCAAAAAAAAAATTTTTTTTTTCTCAATGTTTCATCTTTCCAAGCAAAAATGGTTGTTTTTGTCTTTGTCTTATTCCTGATTCACAGAAATAGGCAAAGAGGGGCAACTGTAAACACCATTTATTTTAATTTTATTATTTTATTATTATTTAATTTTTTTTCTTTTCTCTTTTGCTGTTTCTTCATTTCTGCGTTTTCTTCTTCTTTTTTTCTTTTTCCTTTTTCTTCATCCTTATCTGGTTCAAATCTAGTGCATTAAATGCACAATCCCTAAAGTCAAAAGCACCACTGATAGCTGCCAACAATCGACAAGCCACCAATCATGGACAGTAGGTGTGATTTTTCAGTTAAAAAATGGGATTCGAATCCCAAAAAATCTAAGATTCGAATCCCAACAAGCTCTATAAATAGAGCTTGCAAACCAGACCAAAGAAGAAACGGAAGCAAAAACGGTAAAAAAAAAAAAAAAGAATGGCAGATTCTGTCGAAAAAATTTTGTAAAAACACAAAAAAAGGGCAAAATCACAGTCTCCAAACAGGGGAACCCAGCGCCAGAAAAGCCACCTACACAAAAAAAAGAGATCAGTCAATTCTATCCACCAAAAAAAAAAGAAAGAGAAAGGAGACCGAAACTTTGAGCCCCGATCGACGTGTTTCCGATAAAAAAGACATCGGATCTGAAAAGATCGCGTCGAAAAAAATTTTCATAAGTATTTTCACCTTTTTCGGTGATCGAAAACCACCGACAGCAACTACCGGCAACGAGCCAGACGATGATCGGTGCGGTGGTCGGACGACTGGCCGACGGACCTCTCCCCCAGCTCTCTCTCTCCGTCAGACAGACACGAAACCGTTATAACAAATATAATTGAAGCTCATAGTTCCATGGAATATCGACAAAAATGGTACTTTAAACCAAAAAGTGAAATCATGTTTTACTTTGGTTGGGTAATACAAGTTTCTTTAGTAAACCACTACATTGTAAAAGGAAGATTCTTTTCATTTGTACATGCAAATTCAGCTCAAGTAGGTTGAATTACTGTATATGCAAATGAAATTCTTGGTTCAATTGCCAATTTTATGAAGCAGTTGATTATATGAATATGATGGAGATATTTTTCCAAACAACAACCATGTATTTCTTTCATAATTAAACTTGAAATTAGAGCTTGCCATTTCCCAAAACCTCAAAAAAAGACCTTGGCTTGTTTCTGAGCCTAGTGACGCTTTTGCAGACAATTATAAATCACGTGGGGGCCTGAAAATATTCCTATCCTGTCAAAACAAGTACTAAAAATTTTGACAGAAAATTTACCCCCTCGTGCATGTTGCCACGTAGACTGCGCCCTTCTCAAAAACCTAACATATTTTTTCATCAACAGAGGAGCGGCGCTTGTGCTGTCATCAGGGGCCTTTCCGTCATTTCGTTACCCTTTTCTCTAGGGTTTTTGGTGTCTGTCCCTGACCGCCCTCTCACTCCCAGTCGGTTTCTTCTCACTCTCATATTTATTTTTGCATTTTTTTTTCTTTCCTCATTTTATTAGCACATTTTAGCTTTTCTTTTCTTTTGGGTTTCTGGGTTTTGTTCTTTGAGAGAAAAAGTTCTCTCCTTTCCTCTTTTCTTATTTTCAATGAAATGATAAAGGTTTCTGATAGTTACAAATTTGTTATATCTTTGTCCTTCAAGCTCGAGTAGCCTTCTGTTTTCTTTGCCATTCTGTTTTAAATCAAAGATTTTCAAAGAGTTGCTTCATGGGTTGTAATGGATCTGAGAGGAAAGGTTGGTAAAAAATCACCTTTAATTCAAACTTTTCTCCCAACCCATTGTTTTTTTTTTTTTTTAATACTTACCTTGATCGCTGTTTATGATTCAGAAATCATTGGGTGAAGATATGATGAGTGGGAATAACAAGAAGTCTTGTACTGATTGCAAGACCACAAAGACACCTCTTTGGAGAGGTGGTCCTGCTGGCCCCAAGGTATTATTTTTACTTTCCATTTCCATAAAAAAGCTTCTCTTTTATAAGCTTCAGTCTATTGCTTTTCTTTTAAAATCAACTACAATCAGTTCTCTGCTAAAGCTTACAACTTTTTCCTACATAACTTTGTTTCTTTTGTTTTAATTGATGAGTCTTTGTCCCATTTGGTTGCTTAAAGACTCAAAGTACTCTTTTGTATTTTGGTTAATAATCAATTAATCATCACCAGCCTATTAATTTAATTTGCTTAAAGCATTTTCATCTAGGTTTCATGTCTTGTGTTTCACTTATTTGCCAATTAATTTAATTGATCCTGGCTTATGATTGTTGGGGTTTTTTTGGTCATTTCAGTCACTGTGCAATGCATGTGGGATCAGATACAGGAAAAAAACAAAAGCAATGTTGGGTTTGAAGAGAGGATCAGAGAAGAAGAAGAAAGAGAGATCACAATCATCACACAGCACAATTACAACCAGCTCTGCTTCTATTGCTACAACTGATAATGTTGGTGAAAGTAAGAAGCCCAGTGGCAAATTTAATGGGTTGAGTGAGACTACGGAGATGAGATTATTTGCTTTGGGAAGTGAGGTTTTGCTGCAAAGATCATCATCAACAACAACAAATTCTTCATTATCATTATCTGGGGTGGTGAAGAAGCAAAGGTGCCAAAGGAGAAGGAAGTTGGGAGAGGAAGAACAAGCTGCTTTTTCTTTGATGGCATTGTCCTGTGGCTCAGTTTTTGCTTGATAATGAGACACAGGCAAGAAACCAAAAGTGGGGGTTACAAAAAACCCTAACCAACACAGCTTTTTTTTTTTTTTTTTTCTAGTTTTGCCTTTTGTTTCTTTTTAGGCGAAATGAAATACCCTAGTTCTTGACTGCTGTTTTGTTCTTTTTTTCCTTTGGAGAATTGAGGGGAAGAAAGAATAAAAAAAGGGGAGAGAAGCAGAGGAAAGTAATGTTTTTGTGGATGGATTGATCATGGCTCAATCGTAATGTAAATATTAGCAGCTTCGGAATCAATGAACAAATGAAATTTTTATCTTTTAAGTGGGCATTGCAGTCATTTCATTCGTACTACGATATCTTATCCAAGCAATTTAACTGTATTTGGTTATGAATGATTATTCAAGCAAATGGATTGTAAAAATTTTGGATTGTTTATAGTACTAGTGTTAATAATTGTCTTCACTTTGGGAATGGTTTCTGTTTTAAGGTATTTTCTTGGGTTAGAAGGGGGGAGAATTGGCTTGGGCTGGTCAACTCACCCTGCAAATGGACGACTCAGCTGAGACAATTTTTTGAGGCCTTTGTTAATTGGACACAACACAAGGCAACTTGATGAGTCTGGGGGTGGTTCTGGTTACTTGTAGTTGAACCTTTTCACAAACACGTAATGGGCTTTTCTGCACGTTTCGAATCACTGCTAAAATAAGTCACGTCGCTCTCTCCCTCTCATATGTTTGGTTGCTGGGAAACTTAAAGAAAATGAGAGAAAGTTTTTCATATTAATAAGTTTATGTTCATTTCATGATTTGAAAATGAAAAGAGAAAGTAAAAGAAAGCACAATCGAACTTGGCAAAAAAGTTGTTTTGATTTAAAACCTACTTCTGAATGGATAACAAAGGAGCAAAATCTTAAGATTTGACTTCAAATTTTAACTTTTGTTTTGGGTTTCTTTCTTTTTATTTGAACATTGAAACCAAATGGAGCATTAAATTGCTTTTTGTGAATCCATTAAAGTGTGATTCTTTTTTCTTTTAGCTATCAAAGAGCTTCATCTTCCCTCTTTTTCTTTAATTGTAATATTGATGTCAAATAAAGCGAACTTTCTCTGATTTTTCGTCATTTTGGTTCAGTTTTTGGTGTAAAGGTTGGCTTAAAAGGTGTAGTTCTTAAGTTCATAGTGATTAGTTGGTATAAAATTAGGATTAAAGTTCACTCCTTGATGGCTTGTTCAACAGTTTTCAATGATGTGAGATTGGTAAACTTCCCCATAGAAACTAGTTTGAAGATGGGATTTTTGAAGGTTTCTCTTCATCTCCTTTATTCAAGTTTACTTTGCTTTTAGTTTATCTGATCTGGTCAGAATCATATTTTGGTCTTAGTTTGATTAATAGGAATCTTTAATTTGGAGTCGTAGTTCAAGGCAATTTATCTTGTGCAAGAATGGGATAATAATCGCCACTGTGGACTACATTCATGAAGTTATTAAATCTCTTTGTGGATGGATTATTCAAGTTTACTTTGAATTTAAACAAAACAGAAATAAGTGAAAATCAACAGCTTCAGTACTGTGGAATTCAACAGATGATTCCAAAGAAAAAATGCTTAGTTGACCTTGTGACATTTATCATTTACGATACTGAGACTTCAGGTCTTAGCAGAAAAGATGATAGAATCATTGGGATAGCTCTTCAAGATCTGTCTGGAGGTCAAAACGGTACATTTCAGACATTGGTTAATCCTGGACAGTATGTAGCAAATTCACATATCCCTGGAATCACAACCAACGTGGTTTGTAGACCTGATGTTCCAAGGTACAATATTTCTTAATTGCTCTTTATTTTCTTTGGTTTCTTCCACCATTTATGAAGTCAAAATGAGAAATTCAGTTTAATGGGTGATTTGTTGCAGTTTGTGCTTATAGATTACTATATGGACCTTTTGAAGGATGGAGGAACTAATCTCTGTTGTTGACATGGTTTAGTTGTATGTAAAAGGCTTGACATTGAATTTATATTTATCCACAGGATCCAACCTCCCCTCTGGAACATCCTTACAAGCCCTTAGCGAGCACTACGGAATTCCTGTGGCTGGTTCAGCTCATAGAACCATGTCTGATGTAAGAACCTTAGCCATGATTCTACAGATGTTGACATTCGACTTGAAACTCTCACTCCCTAACCTTGTGAGAAGATCTCCCACAGTCTTCCAATATATCAACAACAAAAGGAAAAAGAACTTAGCTCATGTATCCGCATTTTTTATTTTTTTGGAAATTTTCAACCATTTCAGGCCGACATATACTTCAGCCGTGTAAGGATGTATGTTTTTTCCCATGACTTTAGCTTCTATTATTTGAACAGCTAGCACCATAGAAAGGTTTGATTTGTTCTGTTCACTAGAAAGTATTGTACAATGCTGCAAGAGAATATTGCCTTTGTTTTCCACAGAATGACACCCTTTGTCATTGAAATCTCCATGATGATGATAAAACAAGAGGACGATATAGGGCTAATTCTGCTCTGCAGGTATGGTTAACTCTGATAGATTCTGGAAATGCGAAACAAGAAGGATTCCTACTTATTGTAAAGGAATTGGCTTAAGTTGTTGCCATTTCTCCTGGAAGCTCCAATAAAATGTACGAGTTTTCTGTTTTCAGGGGAAAAATACAACAATGCTTTCGTTGAGAGTTGAACTCAAGACCTCCCGCTTACTAAACGGGTGCTCTAACCAACTGAGCTACGAAAGCAGCAGTGGTGAGTTTCCAAAATTAAATATGAGAAAAAAACAACTTACGACTTCACGCAGTCCCCCCAGAGGAGAATTCGGCCTTTTACGCTCAATTATCAAGGCAATCTTATCATGACAAATTCAAGGGGTAAATTCCGTAGAATGTCAGAGTCTCATATATTATAACAATGTGAATTTGTCATTTTTTTTTTCAAATCAAAAGAATTGATACAAGTAAATAGGCAGTGCCTCATCTCCTCGTATGGGAACCAGCTAGATATCTCCCAAGGAATACAAACGAATCAATACAGCTCCTTGCTGAAGGAAAAAAAAAAAAACCATTATAAGCTCTATACAGATCCTGGGGCATCGAAACCCTGGTTAAACAACAGCCTTTCCCCCTCTTTTTCTCCAAAACCTTAACAAAAAGGGACAAGAAGAGAAAAACGAAGAGAAAGAAAACAAGTAAACATGAATATTTAAAGTGGTATGTGTATATGGGGAAATTCAAAATTCCCACATTCTTATGCTGGCCGAGGAAATTGTTGACTCTCGACATGTCAAGTAATGGGCCCACAACGCGGGTCAAAATGGAAATGGTCAGGAAAAAACCATGCCTGCAGATCAAAAAAGTATCTCTTTGAGGATTAGGAGGACCAACATGACAAAGCACATAATAACAAGCACTGAAGCACACATCACCATCCCTCCTTGTTTCTGTGTTCTCTCCGCCTGCATGTCCAATCCATACAAGAATTAGACAGAGTCCCAGAAAACATCTAAATGTAGATCACTAATGGAAAAAGACAGAAACCTTCTGTAGCTGTTTGAGGCCTTCCTCCACCGTAGTTGCAACATTCTGAATGTTGTAGTCTATCCGATCGACAATAGTGCCCTGTTTAGGGAGAAAACTGCATTTAATGACTCCGGAAAAGTTTGTAACTTATTCCCAAGGCTAGATGGACTCCTACCTGATCAATCACAAGAACTGACAGATCCTTCATAATCTGAGCAACCTCATTTACTGACTCCACAACCTATAAAAAGTATTTTAATATATATAAATAATTAGTTAGGGATAGCTATGAGAGCAGAATCAGATAAGAAAAATATCAAGAGTAATGCACTTACCTGTTGGATCTCCCTTTCCCTCTCAACTGTGAATGCCTCACTTTGCTTTAGCTTTGCCATTTGATGCTCATTGAATACCTAAATGACACAATTGTGAAACATTAGCATCTAACACCAAACTGGAATCAATAAAAGACACTAAACTATCAAAGCCGAATATCAAAGGAGAGATAAGAAAGTCAAGTTAGGCACATTTCGGAGCTTGATGTCCAACATGCAATTGAGCTTCAATGCATGCTATTGGGAGGTCAGCACCCTAAAACTCATGTTTACTAAAATGTCTTTAGTTTGATCATATATGATGGAAATATTAAACGGGAGAGGGTTTAAAGAAACCACAATACCATATCACCCAAGTCATCATCTTCTGCTTTAGATCTATTTCCATTTAGATTCATCTCTAGATCAACTCCATCCTGACCCTAAAACAGCAAGCAATAATTTAGTTACACCAAAAACATCAAAACACAGAAATGAATGGAATAAGTTTGAAATTGAATCTGTTTGACCATTTGGGCTTTAGCACATGTAACTGCAACCAAATATGATACAATGTTGCATTGTCAAAAAGAAAGTTTCGTTCTATACCTCTTTTTGCTGCCTGAGGCGCTTCAAATAAGTTGAATTGTTTCTCCGGAGCTCCACTGAAAGCTTCTGGAGGTCAGTGGCAAGTGAACGCTGCCAAAAGGTGAAAAACATGAAAAGAAAGAAATGCAAACAAAACACAGTTCAGAATCATTGCGGGAATACAAACTGAAATAAAATGTCAGAGGGCAAAAAAGAATAAAGTACTAGACGTCAGGAATTAACTACTTCCCTCTGGCAATGAGACCGGGTTTATGGACTAGAAAAATCAATGCCTTTTATCCTCTCCAAATCAGTAACGGAAAGAAGTAAAGAAAGCATACACGCCAAGAATAGATAAATTATGCGTAGAAGTCTTTTATCCTCGACAAAAAATGGAGCACTTGACACTGTTTCATGTTTGTCTCATCCTCTCCAAGAATGTTGTCTTAACAGTTGGAAACTGAAATATGCTACTTCTAAAATTAGGCCATTAGACAATCACTGAGCAAACATAAATAGAATCCACATCCACATACAAAATGAATAAGTGACAGGCGACAATCTTGCCTAAATGATTGGATTTCCTGACCTTGACATAGAGCCACACAAGTGAATTTGATGGCCACTAAGCCTTACCTGAACATTTTTCCTGATATTTGAATCCTCAGAAGGTCCAGCTTTGAGTTTCCGTAATCTCTTCTCTGATTGCTTCAACAGATTAGTTATCTCATGAGTAAGAGCCTCAATATTCTGATGATCTTCTTTACCATCACCAAATGAAGGCATTAAAGCCTTTGCATGAGCCTTGGCTAACTCGGCCATTTTTGTCTGTGCACGTTGCACGTTTGCTGCTATTTCTTCAGATACATCTACCCAAGCTGGTGGTAGACCGACGGTAATTGCACCCGTACTGCAACAGGCAGACAATCCCTTATTTTCCCACTACATAATTTTATGACCATTCAAACAAAGTACTTAATAGATGAACTCACAACTAGTTGAAAGAGAAAATGAACTTCAGAAGAAATCCCGATAGTAATTATATCTACATTTCCCTCACTGTAAAGCCTTGATCTTTCACTGTACTGCATAAACCTCCCCATGAGCTCCAGAGCTCTTTCAAAATCATTTAAATATCTCATAACTAAATAATTCTCATAAGAATTATTCATTGATCAACAACAATTCAACCACATTCATTTGTACGGATCTCTTCGATGCCAATTCCTCAAAAGATAGTTCTTTGTACAAACAAATTAACACTTTATTAAACTTTTGATTAGCCTAAACCTCTATATGCAATTTTAGAAAAACAAAATTAAAAAAGGAGAATAATTCACCTCAATTAAGCTAACTAATCACAATCTAAACAAATTCAAGCATAATTAAAAAAAAAAATTCCGATCTCGATCTTGAATTCTTGACCTTGATTCAACAATTAATAGAAAAAATTAACATGATCAATATAATAGTTGGAAATATAATATTACCTGAATTTCCCAGGATCCTCGGTACGTAGAGGAGTATAGACCGGTTTTGGATGGAGCAACGAAGTACTAACCATCTCAATTACAGGTCCTGCACCGGAGCTTGTCGCTGCGGACAAGCTCACCGGAATTCTAACACTCTTCAAGGCATCCCTGTATTTCTTGAATATCAGCGTTCGTTTCCTCGTCGCCATAGCTCCAAAACGAAAAATATATATTGCCTAAAATTTAAATCTAAATCTAAATTCAGATTCAGATTAAGAATTTAGAAATCTAAGATTTGAGGTTTTCTCATAGTGGAGGTAGAGAAAAGCAAAATTGAGGGGTGGCCACGTGACCGGAGGTCGGTGATTGGCAGTTGAACAGAAACGAACGACGGAGTCACGTGCCGACGAAGCTGAGGATCGTTCTTAAAAGGAACCCAAAAAAAGTATAAATGAAAAAATGATTGGGTGCGGACGGACGATTTTTTAAATTTTATTGGGCTCTTAGTTTCCAATTAGGTCGGCTTAAGTTAATAGCGAAGGGTCCTACTCTACAGTGACATCTCGACCCGACCCGATCCGAATCACATTATGACAGTAACAGGATAAAGAGAACAATATAAAAGGCCAAGAGTTGCTAAAAAATTTCCCTTCTTCCACGCAATTAAGAGGAACAACCACAAGCAGCTCTATCCATCTCTCTCGCTTTCATCAAACCCCACAGACCTAGCAAGCTTCCTTCTCTCTTCTCCTTTCTTTTTTATTGGATTTTTATTAATCTAATTTACTTCACAAATCCAAGATCGGTGCTAAAAAAGTTTCGAGCTGTAACCCCCAGGAATTAAATCTTTCTTTTTTTTCTTTGGGTTGAAGATTAATTGGAGAAAGAGGTTGATTTAGAAATGGATGCTGGTTCATGGAGTGCTCGTCTTTCTTCAGCTTCTAAGAGATATCAATCAGCTCTTCAATCACGATCTGGTAAGCTTTAAAATCCCTTCTTTTTTTTCAAACTCTTTTGGGGGTTAAATATATATTTTTTGTGTGGTGGACAATGAAGGTAAATGAAGTAACTTGACTTAATTGATTTAGAAAATATTAGATTTTTAACAAAAGTTTTGCCTTTTTCTAAAAAAAAATGATTTAATGTTTGGAAATGGGTTGAAAATGCAGATATGTTTATGGGGTTTGAAGAAATAGATGGAGAAGATGATATAAGAGAGGAATTTCCATGCCCTTTTTGTTCTGAGTATTTCGATATCGTCGGCTTGTGCTGTCACATTGATGATGAGCATCCTGTGGAGGCTAAAAATGGGGTATTGCTCTCTTTTCATTTATTTTTCAATGCCCTTTTTATCGTTATGTATTATAAGCAAGATTAGTATTTTGGATTGTTAATTTTTTACATGATCGTTATCTTTGTAAATAAGAATTTTTCAAAGTAGCATAGTTCACTTGCCTGAATTAAGCCTTGAATTCTGATCAGTCGGTTAAAAGGAATTAAGAAGGGGCTTGTTTGTTATGGACCCAAGTTTCAAATTTTAAACTTTCGCCTCAAAAGTTACATTTAGCTGTTATTTTACTTAAATGATTCTTTTGATAGTTAGAATATTGACGTTTGTTATGAGATTGAAAATTTGAATGAATAAGTTTTGGACCATGAGCTGTTGTTCAGCTCACTGGAAAAATTGGCTCTAGTGTTGATTTTGCTTACAAGTATGGTATTGATACTGGTTTATAGTAGGTTGATCTGTAATATGTAAGTTTGGGAAAAGTAGTTTATAGTTTTTGTTTACAGATTGTTCTGTCACATGGTGCGAGACCTTTTATTGTAATGGGGAAAGGTATTTATTGAATCTAAACTCTGTTTGTGATGGTTGTTTTTGTTTGCAGGTATGTCCGGTCTGTGCAACAAGGGTGGGAGTTGATATGGTTGCGCATATAACCCTACACCATGGAAATATATTCAAGATATCCTTGTCTATTGAGTTATTGTTTATGATAGATTGTCTTTGGAATCCCTCTTTAACCTGTATAGATAAGTTCTTTCTTTTCATGTTCCATGTACCTTGAAAATCATCATTGGAGCCTGCTAAATTCGTAGAATTTGATTGTTGGTTCTCTTTTATACCTGCAAACTTTATCATCTTTGTTCCTTGTCTTGACCGCTGTGACCATTAAAAACATTTGGTCAGTTGGCAAAGATGCCCCCTTCCCACTTCTCCTCTCCCTCTTTAGTGGAATAATAAAAGCATTGCTAGCTTTGTTTGTGGGGCTTCCTTGTATGACAGTTGCATCATTCTAAGGACTTGACTTATATATAATTTCATTTCCTTAACAAATTGTTACATGCAGCGCAAAAGGAAATCACGTAAAGGTGGATCTCATTCAACACTTTCTCTTCTGAGGAGAGAGCTGCGAGAAGGAAACCTACAATCCCTCTTTGGGGGTTCTTCTTGCATAGTGTCTTCATCCAATTCAGCACCTGATCCTTTGTTGTCTTCATTTATTTTGCCCATGGTTGATGATTATGTTAGTGTTCACCGTCACTTTTCTAGCGAAACAAGCACAACTAAGAAAAGTTCAGATGTGAATAAGTCAGAAAGGTAAGTTGCGGTGTGTTAAAATCTGATTGTTACTTTTGTACCCTTATTGCTTGAGGCAGGTGTTTTGAATGCGTGTGGTCTTTTATCTGGTTATTCACTTGCAATCCTAGATAACCTAATGGATCTTGTCATAGCCTTCTTGTTTGGTATGGAGTATAGACGTCTCAAAAAGTTCAGCCCTAAGTGAAAAGGGCATGTAAATGTGCTTCTGTTTGTCTTTTTGTTTTTCACTGAGAAGCGATCTTTTAAGCCATTCTTTGAGATCATGGGGCTAATTCAACGTTTTACTCTTATTAACATACAATGACTTTATTTTATACAATATCATATACAAATGCCTATATTCATTTTGCCACCCTAGAAATAGAACATGTTTTGGACTATATCATGCACTTGGGGATTCAACCCCAAAACTTATATTTTGTTAAAGCAAAACTAAGCAGAGTGATATCTGTGCTCCTGGTCCAGACTAATGACTTCCTATCTATATCTTTAGTCAGGGACCCATGTCTGTGCATGGCTTTATCTTCTGACATTTTTTTTCTCTTTTAAAGTTTCACAAATTGGTTTATGCAGTAAAATAGTTAGGTTAAGCTATATAAGTCTAGGTTAGCATCAAGTGTCCAGCTACCTTACCATATACACAAATATGTAGTATTTATGAATTAGACTTAGTAACTTGGTGGGGATGAGACTTGATGCCAGTCTTTGAGAAAAGGAATGAGACTCTTTTGGCGCATCTCAGTTTTTGTTTATTTATTTAGAGAGTTTGCACCATCTTTTTTGCATTACAACCTTATTCAAAAGAAACCATTGATGACTAGCATTGAATTTTACTTCCGGGACAAACTTCTACATGGGGATTTCATGTTTGTCCTACCTATTTGTTTTATTTCTATAGTTTTGCAACAATGTCTTTGAAAGATATGATATGATGCATTCTGATATTAGGCTTTGATGACAGAAATGTCCAGTCATCTCTCTTCAGTCAAGGATCAGAAAGAGAAGGCAAAAAGATGTGAGTTTGTCAAAGGGCTGCTGTTGTCCACGATTCTTGATGACATTTGATGAAGAGCATTCTGCCTTCCTTTGGTCACTGCAATTGTGGACCTTAATCCCTCATGGACATTGGGTTCATGGCGAAGAGCCCTACAACCTGTGGTTGTTACGCTGTTTGTAGTGAATATGTTGATGTATTAAGCAAAATGTTGAATACAGGTGTAGGAATGACTGTAATTTAGTTTTTATGCCTGATCATGATTTCCGCTTCACCTTTTATTTCAGTTCATGATAATATCAAAAAGAAGAAAAATGATTTAATGAGTGCGCTGAGTTGTTCTAGCTTGCAAGAAACATGTTGGTTAATCTAATCTAATGACAAATGCTCTCGTCATTACCATGCTGTTGTTGGCCATTATCATTTCAAAGACAAAAAAGGTAGCATAAAACAGCTATCATCCCAATGATAAATACGATTGATTAATTGTACTGTAATAATTTTATTACATCTAATATTAATTTGTGTGACATTATTTGCAAGAATGGTGTTGTTTACAAGTTTTCTTGAGTTAGAAGGAAATAGTTAATCACAAACATCTAACCTTTTATGTCCGAACAACAAATGCAATTGGTTAACCCTGTGGAAATAGTTCATCAGAGTTGTACTCTTCCCATGCCTTTGAACCTAAGTGGTTAATGCCCGTAGCATTACTGTCATACTTTATAGCACAAATAATCAAGAGGACAAGAAATTCACACTTTCTCTCTTCATAGGAAGAGGCAAGGATGAGACAGCAGGAAGAACAACATAAGCATTACATGCAATCAGACTAGAAAAATTTTGCAATCTATTATGGTGATCAAATGAGAATACTGCACTTTTTGTGCTCAATGTCAGTGAATTTTAAGTCTAAATCAACTTAAAAAATGTTTCCTTTTTTTTTTTTCTAAAAAAATTTGTTTCTAACTCCTAACCAAAATGCAGAAAGATACATTCACTGCATCAAAGATCTAAAGACCTAAACTTAACCACTGCCGGGATCTTGCATCCATGATCCTCTTCACTACATCTTTTACAAAAGAATCGAAACAAGTTAAGCAACAACCTTTCATTAAGCTCGCCTGCCCAGCTGCTACTCTTTCAATGTGTGTACAATTTGATGGAGGCACAACGTGAACCTCACTCCTCCTGTGCTCAAGCCCACATGCAGCCAATAAGGTGTGCATGGAACTTGTTGCTACGTCCTTGCAAGTACCATTGTCTGCATATTATATAAATATATATAATTAGTTTAGATATGTTCCAAAAACACAAGACAGAACTAATCACTACTACATATTGTTTACAAACAATAATGTGATTAAAAAACAAAACTGAAACACAGACTTAACATGGTAATCATTTATGTATAGAAGTTGTGCCTTTTAGAAATATGAAAACTGCAGACTAAAAAGTCTAAACGTCAAAATATCCTACACAGAGTGATTAAGACAGGGCTTTACTCACCAAAATCATTATTGTTGGACAAGGCTTTCAAATGGCTTCTAACCATTGTTTGCAATTGTTCCTTCACATCAAAACATTACCCTCATCTCTAACAGAAAAAGGCAAACCACAACCATCAGGCCCCAATGTTTTGATCCATTGCTGCACTGACAGAGTTTGCTCATTTGAACGATACCAACAAGTTCAGGCCATAACGTCAAATTGACAGATGTACTGAAGGTTGTTGCGGTTGAAGCCTGAACTGCTTGCCTTCTCAAATGACCCAACTGAAGAAAAGAAATCCCTACTTTGCAGTGACGAAGAGGGATCATCCTGTAACCTCTCCTCAAAGACTGTTTGATATGGAGTTGCATATCTTGTGTCCTAGCTCGTTGAACAGTTGTTTCCCTATCTGATCAATGTAAGAATTTACAAAATCAATGCCCATATTGCCCAGTTTGATATCCCATTAGTCCTACCAGCCATAAGATTCATCCTATTGACAGAACGGAGATTCTGAATCTGGCGGTGTAACCATCGTCTTCCCGTTAGAGTTGGAATGCCCACTCCAGACGCTGGAGAAGCAGCTGGAATATCTACAACAGGAAATCTAGGAGATGAAAGACCCACAAAACCGGGAGTTAATGGTGTATGAGGTGAAGGCACTACAATGGAGTCTAAACTTTCTCCTACATTTACGCTGGGTGACAATCTATTGTACAAATTGTTTATTGCCCTTGGATCTGGCAAAGAATCTTGAACTTGGGAACTAGAGGACCCAAGAGCAACGGGCCTGCAACCATCACAGTACCAATTACCTTCAGGTACTTCCCGCCTGAGACCAACACAATAGGTGTGTGCTGATGAATCACAAAGATCACACAGTAACATGAGTTCATCATCCCCACCTTGGTGGCATTCAGAACAAATTACATTCGCATACGGATCAAGATAGCTTCTGAGTTCTTCCTCAGATGGTTGGTAGACCTGCATACAACAGACATGCCCATTTCAAACCACAGATACAAAATAAAGCAAGGAAAATGAAAACCATTAAACATAAAATATTATGAGGATAAATATAACAAACCTGATCACGCTTGGGGACTTGGATCACCACATCTCTCAAATCAACTCCTGCTGTTGATCTTGCAGGCTTACTGATTGTTTCAAACCTTTGCTTGCACAATGGGCAACGAGATTCCACTTTTGACCACTCCATAATGCAGGTGAAACAAAAATAATGACTGCAACAGTTTAGTGTGCCCCTCAATCTTCGCTTATCTTCCTCAGAGAGACAAATACCACAAACCGGCTTTATTAGTTCAGCATTTGTTTCCTCTACCTTCTCCTTACCCTTTCTTCCTGGAGGTTTCTTATGCTGACCTAACTCCTCAACCTCTCGAATTCTCTTTGAGGTTGATGAACTCCTCAACCTAGTTTTTAAACTTCCACACAATTGGTTGGCTTCTTTCACTTGCTCTCTCTCTTCCTCTGAGATGGTATACTCATAATCAGAAGATCCAAATAACACAAAATCTGAATCTGATGGTACAACATATGCCTTCTTTCTCTGTCTTTATTTGTTCTGCTCTTTTTCTCACAATTGGAGTGTTGTCTATAAAATCACAATCATCATCATCTTCTTCAACTCTCCTTTTCCTTTTCAATCTGCGTTTCTTCCTTCCTCCTTTTCTCAAAGGCTTCTTAGAAACTGCAGTCTCCTTCCTCCTTTTCCTATGTTTAGAAGGACCCTTTTCCACAAACCTTGCTTACCAACTTTCATATCGATTTTCTTCTTTTTTCATTGTCAATTCCTCTTCCTCATCCAAACAATCTCTTCATCCAAAGTGAACTCCTCATCATCATCATCCATCTTTCTTCCTCGACCTCCTCCTCCTCCTCCTCACATCATCATAACCTCATCTTCCTCTTCTTCATCTGATACACTTTTCGCTTTCGCAATTTTCTATCCGCAGTCTTCCTCTCCCCTGCTGAAGACATCCGTTTAGCTTTTGACCTAACAACCTTTCTTAGCTCTTTCTCTTCCTTGTCCTCTTCCTCATCATCGAAAAAACTCCCAAAACCCTCTTCCGGTGGACAGTCATCTGAGGAAGAACAATAATCTTCCGCATCATCCCCAGATTCTTCATTTCCCTCCTCTGAAACTACATAATCTTCATCAGAATCATCCGAAGACTCATCTTTGGATCTAACCCTTTTCTTAGAATTGCTTCTACGACCAACCTTCCCTCCCCTTACCATCTGTTCTTCCACCAAAGAACAAAAAGAAAACACCCGACCATTAATCCCTATTCAACCAATAAATACCAATCTTCTTTGATTAAAAAAAAAAACCATTATCAAATCAAAATAAATTCAAAGATTCTACAATTCATTTGTTTCTTCCTTTGGCTTTACTCAAATGGGGTAGGCAAATTAAACACAAATCCTTTAAGGAAAAAAAACTACCATTTCCACCTATTATTTATCATCACCGATCTGTATTACCATACAAAACTGAAGAAAACGAAGAAAACCCAGATTATAAAAACAAACATACTAAAGTTTCCGTCGACAAAATTTATCAAATTTTACAAAAAACCAGAACCAAAAAAATTACCGTTAGCTTTTTCAAAGTTTAAATTTTTTTCAGAAAAAGCACAGGATTTTTCCCATTCAAATCAGGATCCGTTGAGCATAAAATAAAAGAAAATTCAACAAATATATCAAATTCAAAGCATCCATAAACATCTAAACACCCCTGTTTTTCATCAAAACTAACCATAAAAAAAAAAAAAAGCTTTCAAATATCATAACATTAAAACAAGAGAGAGAACCTAGAGAGAGAAAATTATTACCTGGGAGGAGGACTACAGAACTGAAAAACAAAGGAAAAAATATGTTTTTTCCCCCTTCCTTTTGTTTGTTTTAGCAATGTCTGATAATCGTTTTCGGCTGTAGCGTTTTCTTTGTTGTTCATAGATAAACAGAGTAATTTTTGTTTTTACGTGCTATTTTTTTTTTCCATTTTTTGTATTAAAATTAAATGGAAATATGAACGTTAATAAATAATTATGGCCTCCGCAACTTCGCGACCTCGTCGCGAGGTTAGTACGAAAGTACGGAAATACCCTTGATCTTTGTGGATCAGTTTAACTATAATTTTTGACTGGGCTTTGATTCAGTACTTTAGCGCCGTAGCGACATGTGATGGAGACCCAAATCGGGACAGCTATGATGCCTAAACAAATCCAGTTACTCGAATTTCATCCGTTCGATATAGAATCAAAATTTTCGAATTATTAATAGAATATAAATATTTAAATATTTATATTTAAAAAGTTAAGTCTAATTAAATATTTATTTTTAACATATAAATAAATAAATGATAAAGATAAATATTTAATATTTATAATTTTATCGAATTTAACTTAAATAATTTAAATAAAAATAAATCAATTAAATTTTTGAGTTTAATTATAGATTAAACTCATTAATCACACAACTATTTTTTTTGTTTTTACAAAATATGAAATTAAAATTAATAACAATTATAATAATGTTCATGAAAATACTTCATTGAATTATTAAATTGATTTTTATTATAAAATTATCATCGTATTATAATTTATCTATCTTATTATCTAATGATTAACAAGTTATAATATAACATGGCAAACTTATATTTATTATAATACCTTTACATATATTAAAATCCCAACATATTCTTTCACTTTTATACATGGGACAAGTTTAAAAGGTTTATTATAGACATATTAGTGGGAGATTAGTTTTTATTGTGCTTTTTTTTTTTTTAAGATGTCAAAGAAA